GGAGGGGTTTGCTGTTCCCATGCACCCAGACATGAGGAAAATGAAATAAAAATGACATTAACCTGGGAATGTACAAGCACACAGTGCCCATAAACATCCATGATCTGCATCCAGCTCTCCAGAGGACTTATTTTTACTTTTATTTTGGAATCCTAGGCAGAGTGAGCAGCCTTTGAGTGTATTTATTACGGTCTTGAGTTGCTTTCCATGGTAACTAATTGTGATTTCCGAGGCACAGGTTCTGCAATGGCACAGGATGAAATGGAGCTGAATATGGAGGCAGCTGAGAAGAAGAAAATCACTTGCTTATGAAATGGTATTTAATGATGGGGATTGATGGAGCAGAAAAAAATGGGGGTGGCAGGGACTAGAACACAAAGCAGCTCTCTCAGCTTCATGTATTTCCTCAGATTTTGAATTCCTCAAGAAAACATCTGGTGAATATTTAAGGAAGGGAAACTCCCCTATTATGTGCTGCCTTCTCACTTCCCCACTTCCCATTTTATTGAGGCAAACTCTTAAAAATCCAACTGTATTAAAAAAACAGTCTGGAAATGAAATTATTATAAAATGGTGTTTGCTGGTTAAAATAATGGGAGGGCTTTTACAAAAATTTACCCATTGCACAGTGAAAAAGGGGTGAAACAACCCTGTTTTGAGCAATGTTGGATAAAATTGAGGAAAAAATGTTTCCATGGAGTGCAGGGGTCTCCCACACCCTGGGATGGGTCCGGTGCCCAAGGAAGGGCTGAGCAGAGCCAAGGAAAACCCTGAGAACCGTTTTGAGCCAGTTGGGAATTTCCAAGCTCTCACATGGGGTCAAAACCTCTGGAATGTTCCTGCCCCTGCTCTGTAAGACTCTCAGAGTCCATGGAATTTAACAGCTATGACACCTCCCACAGAGAAAGAGCAATATTGTCTTGTCCTCTTTAAAAACTCTGAATTAATGAGCAGTAGTGCAGAACCCAGCCCATGAAACAAACAACAATAACAAAAACCCCCTAAAAATCCCAAACCCAGAAAATCCAAGTAAACAACTAGAAATGTGACTGTGATGAGTGTGGTTATGTTGCTCAGTTAAAACCCACAGGTTTGTGGGAGTTTCTCCCACCTTGGTGCAACATCACCAGAAATCCTGTATAAATATGGGATCAGATTTGTGGGGATGTGCATGTGTAACTCCAATCCTTTGTCATTGAAGTATTAATTTTATTGACCCAGCAGACAGTGAGGTTTTTATTATATAGAGATGTAGGCACTTCAAATGTGACTATTTGACACAAGCCTGGTGCTGAGGAGCACAGAGCCATTCCAAGGGATGGGAGATCCATGGGAACCCTTCTAGAACCTTCCCATGGGTCTGCCAGGCTGAATCTGAGCCTGTGCTGTATCCACCTGAGGAATTATAACCAAATTTTCATCTCTCTTGCAGTTACCACACTCCAGGTTGGCTTCCTGGAGAAACCTCCATCTGGAGCAATGAAGGGATTACAGGAAACCAGAGGTTAAATAAAATGTTCTTTTAATGATCACCCCCCAAATACCCAAAGGCACCAGTCAACACCGTGGACTAATGACCTACAAATTGGCGGGATTCTTACACATTTGTAGCATTACAATATTTTTTTCCACAGCTTCAGATGGCACATTAAGAGGACTATTTCATCTGCAACAGCTTTGTCCTGAATGCCCTTCCATGTGATTATTTAATAGAAAAAGAATCAAACCAAAACTGAGCTCGCTGCCCTCCTTTCTCCAGGTATTTCTGCAGCTCATCTTGAATCCACACCTGAATAACTCCAAATTTATTTCCAATTTATCACTGTAACTCCTCTAACACCACCCAAATCCCCTCACAGATCCTCAGGCTCCAGGTAACACATGGAGAGGCAACACCTCCACCGAGCACAATTTGCATTTCTTTTATCCATTGCAAAAACCTCTGTAACGTGTCGAGTATAAAGCTCACAAAATACATTTTAAAGGAACTACCATAAAGTATTTGCTTCAAATAGACCTTTTACAACAAAACACAAAATTCAAAGGACATTTTTTTTTTAAGGAAAGCACTTGAAACTGTAACACTTAGATCCTGACAACATTAGATTACTTTAAGCTGTAAACCCTAAGAAGTTTTGTGATTAAATAAAATCAGCATTACAATTTCCAGGCATTATAATCATTGAACAGATTGTAACAACAAGATATAATTATAATGCAAACATGAAGCTCAGGAGACTGGCACTGAGAAAACTCTTAATTCTTTGTAGATTTAGATCTGCACATGATAAAATCAGTAACAACTGGAGAAGAGGTTCCAATATTCCATCCTACACACTGATATCAGCGTTTTGCAATCAGCAGTCAATACATCATCCCCTTTTTAATATTACTTTACAGAGTCATTATGACCTCGAACAAAAAAAACCCCTCCAGGTTAATTACTGCTGCCAGGTATCAACAGAACATCTGGAAGGAAATAATTAAAACCATCAGGTTTTGTTAATTGCCCCTGTAGGTGTAGATACATGAGATTTTATATATGTAAGGCTAAATAAATTACATATATATATATATATATATATATATGCTTACATATACAAAATCACAACCTCAACTTTCAGAACTGAACTACCTCTAGAAATATAAGACCTTTTTCCATAAATTTAAAGGGTTTATTTATACCTGAGAGATTTTTGCATATTGATGTCTTTGTACCTTAGCCTGTAGGTGCTCCCCTAAGTTTTTCCACTTTCCTGGGGTACAAAGCCCATTGCAGCCAGGGGGGTTCTTCCCACCAGCTCCAGGGACTTTGGCTGAGCCCTTCCCTACCTAACCTGGATCAACAGAGAGGTGCCAGAATTCAATATATATCTAAATAAAGTTCTGTGCAAGTGCACAGGCTGGTTTATACAAATCCACAGCGAGTTCACCACCCCTGCTATTTCCACAATATCTGATTTTCAAAGTATTTTAGTGCTTTACCCAATGCATGTTTCTACTTGTTGGTTAGAGAACACCTTAGTGAAGAATTTTTCTGGGTTTTGGATCACTGGCCATGCAAGACACGCTCAAAATGCTCCTTCCTGCCTGACCTGTTCCCTGGTTCTTGGGGAGATCAACCCATTTTTCCACCCAGCTACCACGGACACCAGGAGTGGAGCAGTAATAAATCAATGTGGCAACACTCCACTAAGGTCACAGGTCAGTGCAGATGGACTGAGACTTTCCAACAAATCTAAAGAGATCAGGAGCCCCCTTCCCCCTGAAATTTAAAGCATTTGGATGCCTGATTCCCACAGATTGCCCAGCCCAGCTCTCAGCTCCTCATCCCTGCAGATCCCAAGCAGTAGCAGGGATATGACCCATGTAAGGCTCTTACAGAATTTCACAGTGCTATTTAACATGGCAAACACCAAACGAAATGGAAAGGTTCCCTTTGTCATCCTGACAGCTCAATTAAAACAGAAATTAAAGGAATCCACCATGTCTCACTCCATTTTGCTCCTGACAGGGGGAATTCCCTAGAAGTGCTTTCATGCAAACATGGTGCTACCATAGCTGATTACAGAGCAATTAGAATTGATGGTTTTATTAATTAGAGTTTAACCAACAGAAATATCTTAGTGGAAGAGAAATAAAGTGTGCTTTCAGACACCAAATTATACATACCTGAAAAATCAGCAAAAGTAACAGTACTCTATTCATGAAAGACATCACAAAATTAATCAGATTCATCAGCAAAACCTTATTTTGTAGAAATACCAATTTTTTTGCACTGTATTTTACAGAAAAAAAGTTGACTTTAGTGATTATGGTCTTTGAACAATTCTTTCTTCAAATGTACAGGAATATAATGGGGGAAAGGGAAGCTACATTTCACTGGCAATCGGATTTCACAGACCTTAGAAAATTTAGAAATGTTTGATTCAAAACAGCACATTTATAGACCACATTTCTCTGTAAAATAAATCAAACTCTTGTGCCCAAGTAGAAGAAATTCCCAAGGCCTGACACCTGTTGGAAATGGATGCAGTGCAGCCACTGCTCTGGAGCAGGAGGAGATGAGGATGAACAGTGACAGGGACAACACAGCGACACACAAAGTCAATGTAAGAAACTCTACAGCTTGCATTTCCAGTTGGCTGTTCCCATTTTACACCTACACCCCTTCCAAACCTCCTTTTCCCACTAGTCCTTCTTGTTCCATATTCCTTTTCCCAAGTTTGGTTTGGTTTTTAGATCCATCTGTCCCAAACCTGCTCATCCTGGAGCAAACCCTCTGCCCATCACTGCTACAACCACTCTGCAACCCCAGGGCCTGTTTCCCTTTCCATGTTTCCCTTTCCATAATTTAGGAACTCTCTGGCACCATTTCCAGCATTTCATGGAGCAACTGGCACAGGGAGGCACTTATGTGACATGTTTAAAACTCATCTTTGGTAAACACTCACACACACAAAAATGTATAATTCATGTTTTGCTTCCTGATCGTAAATCCTCATTTGCTACCGGTGGATGTGTGCAGGTATCTAAACACAGACAGGACTTTACCAGTATAAAATAGTTTTTCAAATGCCACTGCCAAGGATTTTTTTAAATTCACCTAAAAATAGCGCCAGTCCTGGGCTTTTGGAGTTTTTTCCTGACTCTGTTTGTTGTGCATTAAAGCAGCTGTGATCAATAACAAATTAGTGATAGAAAGTGAGCCCATTCTGCTCAATTTTCACCTCCTTTCTCATCCTCTTGCCTTGGTTTTCAAAACCAATCTAATCAGAATAGTTGTACCTCTTACAGCTTTTGTTATCTGTGAGGCAGATCCTGGGCTCTGATGCTGCCTGACTTGAGCAGCCAAATCTTTCCCTGGGATCAGTGGAAATTTCAGACACACAAGATGCTGAGTCTGCTCTTGGTAGGGGCATTTCCTGTTCAAACCAGTTCTCTGGGGAGGGGAGTGACCCTGAGTCTCTGACTGACCTGAGGAACGATCAGCCACCAGGAGATGACCCAGCAATGTGTGGTTTCAAAGGTGCTGCAAATAAAAGTTGCTGGAACTGCATGGATAAAACCAAGGGATGACTGACTTTGACATACCCAGAGCACTGTCCCTTCTAACATCAGGCATTTCTACAGAGAGGTATTTAATTGGCTTCAGTTTTAATTGACACCATTTACATTTTTCTTACGAATTTTTTTTTTTAGAACCCAGAACTTAGTGCATTTCATTTTTACAAAATTAGAATAATTTATATCCTTCTCTTTTCATTGCAAAAAAATACAGCCCAAACACACATCAAGGTATAAACACTTCACGAATGACAGACGCTTCACTTATTTCACCTGCTTAATGGTGAGTTAGACATTGACCAACCAAACAACTTTGGCAACTTGCACAAAAATATGTCCTTAACTCAAAAGTGCTGATAAAACTCGCTTTAATGAGGCCTTTATTAAGGAGAGAACTGGAAAAGGAGGAGTGGTGAGTGCTTGGAGGTTGGAGTGCTCCTACACCATCCCGCTCTGTAGCTGTATGTGGAAAGGGTACGGCTGGTAGAACACAGGGGGTTGTCCATGGGCAATGTAGTAGCTGCTGAAGTTTCTGTCACTGATATAGGGAGCAGGCTGATAGTAGCATGTGACGTTGGCCGCGTTGGGGATGATGTTCTGTTCTCCGAGCACTTTTAAAGCCAGGATTGTGATCATGTTGAGGGTTTGCCTTCGCTCGTGCCCCATCAGGCAGACTGTGCTCTTGTTCACCACCCCACGCAGGGTCATCAAGTAGTCGTACTTGCTCTTCTCCTCCCCGATGAAGTGGTTGCGCAGGTAGGACTCGATTTTCCTCTGCTGCTCGGCAACGTCGGGAAAATCAATGAAGAACCTGGAGCACATGTAACGTTCCAGAGATTTAATTTCAGCCTCATCCGCCGGCTTAAAGTCACGCACCAGGAGGTTGCTGTACTTGAGGAGGCCGCCTCCCCGGATCTCCTCCGGGTTGCGGGTGGAGATCAGTTTGTATTTCAGGTGGTCCATGGCCTGGTTGAAGTCCCCGTACATGCTCTCGGCGATGACGGCGGGGTGGCAGTCCTGTGTCAGGGGCCGGTCTGAGGCTCTGTAGACGGCCAGGATGGAGTCCAGGATGATCTGGAAGGAGTCCACGCTGAACTCGAACTGCCGCCGCAGCGAGCTGACGAACTTCAGCTCCACGTTCTTGCCGCTGTTGTTGGACAGGGAGATGAGGCTCCAGCGGTCGTGGTCGGTGGAGACTTTGACCATCTTCTGCACGTAGGCATCTTTCATGGTCTGAGCCGTGATTTTTTGCTTGTTAACGCATTTTGGCAAGAAGTCCAATAGGCAATTGAGAACCGCTTCCTTTACCACCTGGAACTCGAGCTCACTGGGAAGTTCCACTCCAAAAATGATGTCCAGGTCCTTGTAACTGGTGCCATTGTGCTTCACCAGGATGTGACTGGCAGTGGAACCGTTCAGGCGGATATCCCTGACATGGATCTGCTTCTCAATGAGCTGCTCCTTTACCATATGGATTATATCCTTAGGCTTTACCTCCAGGGTTGGAAAATTTCCTCTCCCATGAATAGGTATAGCCTCAGACAAAACCTGATCCAGGATTTTAATCTGATCCCAGGTGAGATAACTGAATCTGTGGTCCAAGTCCTCAGTCATTGTGGTATTGGTTGGCTAAACAGAAAAAGGGGAATTAGAGACAAATGTTAGAACTTTCTGGAATACCAGAGAGGACATTTCACTTGGTTATACCAAACTTCCTCCCTCAGTGTAGTGACAGAGCTGTTCATTTTAGAGACACAACCCCAGTTAATGGTCTGAGTCAACCACTGCACTTGTCACAGGCTTTTAATTGAATTTAATGTACTCAGGTTTTAATCCTGCTGAGAAGCCATCACGTTATTGTATAACCCATGACTCAAAGTAAATGCAGCAAACCATATAGACCCAATTTAAAACTACTCAAAGGTTAATAACATGAAGTACTTGGTGGTTCTAATGGAACTCCAAATAAATTTCGCCATGAAGAGATAAAATGAGCAAAGTGAGCAAATTTGTTCTTTCTGTCCTGCCTAGACATCTCCCTTGATCTTCAGTGACTTGAATACTTAAAAGTGCTAAAAGACCAGGAAGTTTTTTTTGTGAAAACCAAGAATGTTGCAACCTGCTCCCTGTTTATCCAGCCATATGCCTTGGATGAACTTTGGTCTCTATGGATCATCTGAACACACTCATCCTTTAATGTCACTTGTGGTTTAAGGACTGGATATCTGATAATTGTCAAGTTGTTTACACGATGTTTCTGCCGAAAATATTTCCCTTCTAAGCCATCAGCCATGTTTTACATTAATGTATCAATGCTGCAGGTCATGGTTTGCAGATCTGGTGAGAAAACCCCTTTCAGTCTTGTGGAAAAAGGACCTCAAGAAAGAAGCACCTATAGAATACATGGGATATAAAGCTCAGCTTTGGAATTTCTCAGTTTAAAATGATATCTTGAATTCACAGCATCACACTTAACAATGAGATGAGACACTCAGGTGGTGGCCAGGTGGCATCTGAAGGGTCTCAGTGAGGAACCAGCTGGGTGCAGGAAGTGCCTTTGGGAATCTGCCAGCACCCAGAACCTGCTTCCGAAACACCCCCGAGTGTTTCTGCAGCCAGATGGCTCAAACATATTCTTTCAGCCAAAGCTCAAGGATAAAAATAAAGTAAAATCCTACTAAGTAACAACACTACAGAAAAGTCCCCACTGTTGTTTCTTAACCAGTGGTGACTCCATATGTACGTTGTCATACATTCCCCTTCCCTCGCCTTCAGATTCCACATTCTGGAATATTTTAGTAATTTCAAGTAACTTGTGAGCTGCCAAATGGCTTGGGAATATGGCAGAGCTCTATTTCACATACTTCTGCTGGAACTTCAGCTCCCATTAAGCTGATCAGGAGCATATGTAATTCCAAGCACCTTCCTGGCCTCATGACAAAGAATGGGACTAACCAGATGTTTGAAGCTGAAGGAATGTTTTAAAAGTTGGCTAAAGCAGGACTGAAGTTGGGAATTTAACTGACAGTGTGAAGGTCTTGGAATCAGTCCCACAGGTCTGGCACAACCACGTAGCTCCTGGCATCATGCATATAGTGTATAATTCCACACCCATATCAGGTATGTTTTCAGGTGTATTCAGAAATATCCACATTTTTACTGCACACATTTAAAGGACATCTGAACTGAAAAGGAGAGAAATTGCCCTTCACAGCACTGCCAATTTTACATGCTAATGATTTCACCATTAAATATTCATTAGAATTCCATGGTTATTCCTTTAAAACTATAGCTATGCATCCTTCAGAGCCTTTATGACAACAAGTCTATCCTAAAAACCAGCTTTTACAGAGAGCTACTGCTAATTCTGGAAGTGGGACAACCTTGGGTGGAGACAGGTTGGAAGAAGGTTTTGTTCAAATGTTTTTGCTGCTATGTTGTCACCTGAGTCGTTCATACAATCACAGAATTAAGGTTGGAAAAGACTTCCAAGATCATCAAGTCCAGCTTTTTATATACCAGGTCATGGTGGACCAGCCCAAATGATCCCCTAGCTAACTTAAAATTGTCACATTTGTTGTCTAAGCAGTAGTTTTTATTATGGCATTTGTTTGATATTGCAAAACTTTGACCTTTCTGAGGCTGATGCTGTGACGTATAAAAAAAAAGGGAGCAGAGAAGGGAATGTTGAAATTCAACCCCTTTTTAGCAGAGGGACCCTCTTCAAACACTTGGAAAGTCAGAAGATGGGCATATTTCTAAATAAGCTTAGAAATCCTTCCTTTATTGCTACATGTTTTTAGGTATTTCAGATGTTATTGCAATATACTGAGGTTTGAAACTGAAAGGAGAAGGTAATGTCAGTAAATCTCTCTTTTGTGTTGAAGAGGCATCCCTCAAAATGTCATTTCTCTGAAGTGATTCCTGGAGAATCTGAGGAGGCTTTGGGAGCTCAGTCTCACCATAAATGTTTTATGATAAATATTAAAGAATTCTGTGCTGAAATAACACCTTCAACTCTGACAAGTGAGAAAAATGTACTAGGTAAAAACCCCAGGAATTCAGTTTTCAAAAATATAATTAATTTGCAGGTAAGCCTAAATAAACATTATTATTGTTAGTAGTATTTTTTATGATTTACTAATTTGCTACCAGTTTGCAAGCCAATACTTTAACCTTTCACTCTCCTAGAAGGATTTTATTTTTTTATTTTCTTCAATCTTTTCTGGCAAAAAGAACAATTTCCAGGCACTTTAATAGTCATTAGGAACCTGATTTCTCAAAGCAGGGGCAAATTTACTTACTGAGGTGCTCAGGTTAATGCCAGGAGTTATTATTGATGTAATTATCCTCTGTTACAATACACTGTTTCAGTGTTGCATCAGCAGCAACACTGAGGTTCTAATTAGCCAAAGTGTTGTGTAAAACCAGAGATCCTGGGATGAAGGGAAGGAAACTCCCTGCATGCGACCACAGCACCTGGATGAAGCCAAGCACAAGTGAGTACTGAGCTGCTAAATTAGAAAAGAGGCTAGAAAATCACTTTATTCCTTGGAAACTGCTGCTGTTTGCAATGGAGGATGATCAGTTTACATGGGAAGAGAGCGATAGGACAGCAGAATGGTTTTAAAGTAAAAGAAGGGAGGTTTAGATGAAATTAGAGAGAAATTCCTCCCTGTGAGGGTGCTGAGGGTTGGCACAGATTCCAGAGAAGCTGTGGCTGCCCCTGGATCCCTGGAAGTGCCCAAGGCCAGGCTGGACAGGGCTTGGAGCAGCCTGGGACAATGGAAGTGGAACTGGAAGCAGATGATCTTTAAGGTCCCTTCCAACCAAGCCATGCTGGGATTCTGTGATCCCTGGATGCAGATCCCTCACTGGCACCCCCAATCCCAGCTCCCCTGCTGAACTCTGCCAAAGAATTCCCTTTGTGAAACTCCTTCCACACAAATACCCCAAAGCATCTCAGGTGTTCCACATTCAGGGTTTTCTTGTCCTGAAGTCTCCATGTGGGCAAATGGAAACTGCACAAACATCACCATCATGGCAATGAAATGCAAAATAGGGTGTTTTTTCCACACTTCATCAATATTTTAATTTACTGAGATTCTCTCCTAGTGATTTTTCTGAAGTTTTTCTGCTTATGGATTTTAAAATGTTACCATAAACTGCAATAGACCCTGAATCCCATCTGATTTAAGATCTCTGCCAGGAAAAAGGATGAAGAAAAGCAGTTTTCAAGGTGTTTTCTTTTACATACACTGGCTAGAGAAGCACAGAATAAGATGGATCAGACCCAGTAAAGTCTTGTGATATATCATTCTTATTATAAGGTTAAAAAAATATTTCTCTGACTCAACTTCCAACTTGTCCTTGAGTGGTCACCTTCACCTGATAAAGCAGCCACAATGTGGAAAAATGTTTGGATACTGAAACATAACACTGTTAGATTTTATCATTTATTTTCCTATTGAAATTAGAGGCTCTAATTTTCTTTTTGGAGCAAGCAACTCTGAGTTTGGGCTGACAATGATGCTAAAATGTTTCATTAACCACCTCTTAGCTCTCCACTGTGCATGAGCTTCATCAAAAAAAATCCAAGCAGATCTGGCTTTACATCTGAATGAAGCAAATCTGCCATGCTAATGACAGCTTTCATGTTCCCCACAACTTTCATAGAAACAGATTCTTGCAGTCTAGAGAACAGTCTCATCAAATTTAGCTCATATTTTACTGATAAACTGTTTAAATTCTCTTTTTATATATTCCATAATGTTGATTCAGTGTCTTTTCAAAGGGTTTGCCATGTGCTGGCATTTTGAGGCAGGATACAGCTGAAATAGGTTTTGTGCAGCTGTGGCAGCTCCATCCTCTTCCCTTTGCTTCTATCTGCCCCCATGTTTTTCTGTTTACAATAAAGGTTGGGAATTGAAGCATATTTAAATGCTCCAATTCTTTTTACTTTGCACTTGAAATCAGCTGTGCAGGGACCTCTCAGAGATCACAGAACTCCAGAGTGAGGGAGGTTGGAAAAGCCCTCCAAGACCATTGAGTCCAACCAGTGCCTGATCCCCACCTTGTCCCCAGCCCAGAGCTCTGAGTGCCACCTCCTTGGACACCTCAAGGGATGGGGACTCCAAACCTCCCTGGGAAGCCCCTGCCGAGGCCTGGCCACCCCTTCCATGAAGGAATTCCTGCTGCTGTCCAACCTGCACCTCCCCTGGCATGCCTTGAGGCTGTTTCCCCTCATTCTGTCCCTTGTTCCCTGGGAGAAGAGGCTGAAAAAGAGATGTAGCAAAATATCTTGGGAGCTGCTGTGGTGGTCTTGTTTTGGAGGATCACTCCAGAACCACCCACAGAAATTCTGCCATTCCTCTCACCTCTGCACTGGTTTTCCTGTTTACACATTACACACATCACTATAAATGCCCATGATCTCTTGCTAAAGCTTTATTTTAATTCAAAGATCCATTTCTCTATTAAGCTGGACATTTGGAAGTATTTTGCTCACTTACTTTAGAACTGCAGCTGGCATAAGTTCCAAAGGCAGGAATGTCAAATGGGGAGAGACTTCCAGTCGTAATTTAAACCCAGATGAGACAAGGAGAAGCAGTAAAACATCTGGGAAACCTAAATGGGGACATATTTAAACTGGTTTGACAGTGCTTTCCATGAGTTTTCCCTTCCATTACTGTTAATGCAGTGGTGAAGGCAGTGTTTATTTATCCTGTTATCAAGAGATAACGCATGAATTGCCATCAGTTTTCAGTCCAGTTCCCATCGAGTTTCCCTGGGATAACAAATGATAGCTCAGCTCTCCCCTGGCAGATAAGGCTGCAAGGTGGGCAAAATGCAAAGCTGTGGGCTTGGGCTGTGCCACACAATGGCACCTTCAAGGGCACAAAAAGTAAACACAGGATGAGACTTGATCCACAAAAATGTGTCCTGCTTTTCCCACCCAACAAAAGAACTTGGATAATGGCTTTAAGGGAAAGAGGGCAGGGTTAGATGGGATATGGGGAAGAAATTCTTTCCTTTAAGGGTGGGGAGGCCCTGGCACAGAGAAGCTGTGGCTGCCCCTGGATCCCTGGAAATGACCAAGGCCAGGTTGGACAGGGCTTGGAGCATCCCAGACTAGGATGTTTCCCTGCCCATGGAATAAGATGGGATGTAAGGTCCCTCCCAGCCCAAACCATGCTGGGATTCTATTTCTACTGGAATATTACAGGATATTGGCTCAATGAGCTGGGAGTTCTCAGGAGGCACAAACTGAGGAGTTTAACTTGGGCACCCAGCATGAAATAATAACCCATATTCCGTCATGCTGGATATTTGGGGTTTTTTGGATGTCCCATTTTTCCATCATGACTCATGGTAGACTCATTCTTAGCCAGATGGGGATCCCCTCACAGGGCAACATTTTCAAGGGCCTATTTATCATGACTTGATATCAGTTCCCACAACACATGAGGCTCCTTCTCACAGGGCCTCCAGTCCAAACCAACCAAGCCCTTTAAAAACCATGAGGTCAGTACCTCAATTGTTATAAAACACTTCAATAACTTTTAAAAAATAGCTGCTATATGCAATATTTAGGCTGTTTTGGGCCATGGTCATCCCTGGAAAGTTCCTGCTTTAGGAAAAGCTTATTTGTACTACCAAAAACATATTTATGGACTGAATCCTGAATAACATTCCCAGCAAGAATGCAAAATCCCACGGACTCACCGTGGCAGGACGACTGGGAGCGTGTATTCCAGCACAGTTAATAGGATGAGTCACTGAATCATTTGGTAGAAATATGAATTGTCATCTTGTCGCTGACAGAAACACAAAGCTCCCCAGGAGAGCTGCAGGAAATAAAAGCCAACAAACAATCACATTCATTTGAGATCAATGTTAACCACCGGTCACCTGCTGGACATAATAAATGATGCATTACAGCCTGGCAGTCCTGCAGGGGTAACAACAGACTTTGAAGTGGGGAATGGTAAGGGAAAGGTAGTGGGAAAAGCACCAAAGGCTTTATTAAGACTCTGGGTTTCAGGTCATGCTTAATCCTCTGCAAGGATATTAACAAACCTGCCATTTTCCCTACAGGGTTTGAGTGGGAATTTAATATTATTAATAGACATGCAAATTAGCAGGGCTGTAGTAGAGTCATATAAAATTTAGAATGAATAATAATTCAGAGCAGAATGAAGTATTATGAATTGTGTAGTGGCTTTAGATTCTTTCTATCAGAGTGTGCAGCTGACAGGAAGCTCTGGTTGTTGGTTCATTTAGAGTAAGCCCAGGGTCCCGTTGCTGGAATTTCCATGCTCATGCCATGTGCTGGAATGAAGTATTTCTGTAAATATTCACCTGTTATCATAAAGGCACTCCTTTATATTTGTTTCTCATTTCAAACATGTGCTGACAGTCAGTATTCTCAGGCAAGACCTCCCATTCCAGCACCCCATCCTGCCAAGGCCACAACACCCACTCAAGTTCCCTGACTATCCCAAGCAGGGCCTGTCCACTCTATGGGTTGGTATTCACAGAAATTCACTCCTCGTTGAGTTGTGTTCCACAATCTCAGCTTTTTTGCTCAAATTACATATGGTTCTTAGTAAAGATAATATTTAAAGTATGATTTAAGTGTAAATATCTACATAATCTGCTGGAAAAGCTGAAATTATAGCCCAAGGAGGTATGGACTGTGTTATTCCTTTATTAGGAATAAAATGGATTTTTCCTCCCTGCTACAGCAGGCAGATTTTTATCCCTGAAAATGCCATTTTAGTGCTGCCAGAAGCAGCCAGCACTTGCTTTGCTCACCCTGTGAGGACCTGTCTGTTGTGCCAGGGCCTGTCTGCAGCTTTCATTTGCTTTCCAACTCCTGATGGGCCACTAATTAGCTGAATGCATGCTCCTGACCTGCTCCCAAATCCGTGCACTGACGGCTCACGTTGGCAGCTCAATAAAGGGTTAAGTCTGGCAAGGGCTGAGCTCAGCTCTGAGCCTGGCAGTGAGCAGCCAGTCAGGCCTTGATGGCAAAGGAAGAGTTCTGGGCTGCTTAGATAAAAGGATCTCAGCATGTGGAGTCTGGAAAAGTCAGACAAATCAGTCACTTTGCAAAAAAAAAAAAAAAATACAAACTTCTTTTTAATGCTGAAATATTGTTATTTCTTTCTGTGTAAGGATGGAAGGTTTAATGGATATATGATATCCACTAATGGATATATCACCCTGATAGAACAGATGAACACTGGAGCAGAATTTATGGCTTCCCCTGGTGATATTTAGGGGAAGAAGAGAGACCTTTATAGCATTTTTTTTTTGTAGAAGAGGCATTATTATATAATATGTTCATAGAAGCAGCAGCTGAGATTGATGAGCTGCTTTGCCTACTGGGCCATTATTCCCAACAGCTGCCTTTTATTGGCTCAGTCACCACAGGAAAAAGCATCATTTCCTTACTCTACGCTCAGGGTTCCCAGGATTTTTTTCAGCTGAAGGAAAAACAAAAATAAAAATGATGATGTCAACAATTACCCTGTGTTTTAAAGAGACCACTTCCCTGTTCCTGAACTGGGGATATGAATTATGGCAACATGCACCAACACAACCATTCCCAAGAATTTTCCCCTGGTGCCTAAGGAGCACAGGAGTATCCTGAGATGCAGCAGGGTCTGGGAGGTGATGTGGGGCTCTGTGCCCTGGATTTCCCTCTGTGCCACAATTTCCCAGCTGGTCACTCCTTTGGGTGTCCCCACTCCCAGGTCTCACCCTGAGGAATATCCACCCTCAAACCTTCCAGGTGGACCTCAGACCTTTGGTGGATGTGGAGGCTGCTCAGCACCTCATGAGCTCTCCCAGGGCATTTCCAGGTGATGCCCCCTGAGCTGGCAGGAACAAGAGCCAAGGGTCCCAGAGATTCCTTCCTCCCCCTGTGTGCTGCAGCTTCCCCTGACTGCTCTGCTCAGCTCCTCAGACTAATCCCAAAATCTATTTACTCACTCGAGATCCCAGTGACTCAATCCAAAGCTCACTTATCAAAAACTCTCATTATTATGACTAAACTGCAGCAAAAGCAGGCAAGGTAAAAATTGAAACAATCCTTCTCTTTCCATCTATTAACCATCTTCATAATCATCTCTCCTCTTCAAATGCCAGAGGAAAAGGGATGAGTGACGCCATGTGCCCCTGCAGCCCTAAAGCTGGGCTGCTTTCAGGGTAAAAAGGGCATTACAAAGTCAAGGCTCTCCTCAGGAACTCTCCAGAACCATCTTCCCCTCATCTACACCAAAGGACAACTATCAAATATCCCCATGGTCACTGAACCATGAGAGGATTCTCCTGGATCACCTTTCTGTCTGTTTTCAGAGGGCTCCAACACAACCACATCCACGAAATGGATTTCTCTTTTTTGGCTGATCACACCCCAAAACCCCTTGCTGGAAGCAGCATTTAGTTCCTCCAGTCCATGGAGAGTGGGGGTTCCCCTCCAAACCAGTACTGAGCCATTGGGGTGGGGAGGGCGGGTTTTGATTGCTCACCCAGAGTGGATCTGGAGTTTTCCTTGGGAGGAGCCCCAAAAATGAAAGAAATGCACCCTGAAGGCCTCTCTGCCTCACCCCTGCTCTGCTCTGCACAGGTTACAAAAGTGTTTCTGTTGAGCAATTATTCTGTTCCACTCCAGGAGCGTTCTCATTTCATGGCAGGAGCCGTGAGCTCCAGGCCCAGGTTCAGGTTGATTTGTGAAGCAATTTAGGATCCCTCCAAATAAAGGCTCTTCCCTATTGCTACAGCAAGGGGGGAGTTTAAATTCAACTGGGAAAACTTCTGTATCCTGGAGCAGGCTGGGCTGGCACCTCCACAGGACTGTGTCTCACAGGCTACTCAGAGATTACTGTGTCTTCCATTACTTAATTATGTTGCTATTTGTGTTTACAATGTTCATATAGAATTCATATTTTTATGAATTAATTTCCATACTTATATTAAAAAGTTACTCGTTGAATACAAAACAGAGCAGTGGGATTTCATTTTAATGCCATTTTCCCAATTTTATGAGTTACACTGTAAAACTGGGGGAAAAGAAATGAATTATTCATTATCTTTAAAGTATTTGCTGCACAGGAGTTTATGTTTAATTTTGCATCAGTAACAGCCAAGATTTCCACAGAAAATAGTTTTTTGATAAGTGAACTGTTTTCTAGTTTGCAGTTGAAAAATCTGCAGAACTCTGGGCAAACTATGACAGGAAAAAGGATTCTGGCTGCAGCAGCAGAGCAGGGAACTGCTTCTCTTTTGTGGTGAAGGCAGCACGAAATCTCTGTTGACATTATTACTAAAAGGCAGAGAGGAGATAAAGTGATGATTAAACCCAAGAAAAAGGCCCAGGCCCTGCAGCACAGCTGTGCATTCGTGACTTTTCCATCACTATCAATAATTCATAATGACCATCATGCACCTGACGACACCAAGTTGGGGAGAAAGACTGAGTCAAGCTTCCACCAAATGTGCAAAAACATCCAACCTGACATCGGATGTCAGGGCAACAGGACCTGCTGGATAAGCAAAGATCCAGCAGAAAGGGTAATGGAGAAGAAAATCAGCTGATGTGGACATAAATCAACATCTGCTGTACCCGTTTGTGGCATTTTATGGAGGAAAACTCCCCTTTTGGTGGTACACGCTGAAAGTAAGTTTTTAGAGCTTCTAAAATAATTTTTTCTAGAAAAGAACTGAAATGTGAGCAATTCTGCAACATGAAGGAGCCATGCTCAATATGATGCTCAAGTTTTGCAGCTGGATTCTCCTTTGCTGTACCACACTAACTCAGCATGGCCATAGGCAATGGCACACTGCTGATTCCCTGGGGCATCTTGGATTCTCTGCTGATGCTTTGAATAATTACTTTTGCGTGAAGATCATAGTGGTAAAGGCAAAAAGCCAGCCTGCAATTCCCAAAATATTTCTGTTTTTTTAATGTTTGAATCCAAATGGCATAAATTAATGGAATCATTGAATGGTCTGGCTTGGAAGGGACCTTTAATCTCATCCAATTCCATCCCCTGCCATGGGCAGGGACACCTTCCACTATCCCAGCGTGCACCAAGCTCCATCCAACGTGGCCTTGGACACTTCCAGGGATCCAGGGGCAGCCACAGCTTCTCTGGGAACCTGTGCCAGGCCCTCAGCACCCTCACAGGGAAGAATTCCTTCCATATACAGAAGTGAAATCTGCCATCTTTCAGTTTGAAATGATTACTTCCCACCCCACCATGACAGTTCCTGATGAAGGAATTGTCAGAATAGCAATCCAATTCAGCAGGAATTGCTCTGGTGTAAATGGGAGAAGACTTGGCCTGGTCTGTTCATGGCTGAGCATCTGAGTTCTGCAATGTAAACTCTGGGTTGGCTTCCACTCTCCATGGACCACCCCTCACTCCATGTTACCCATCCTTTGATGGTGAAATTTGGCTCGGAATTTGCCTCCAATCCTCTAACTGTTCATTGCCTTCCATCCATTAAAACCACTGGGTTAAACACAGACACATAAGAGATATATGACATGGAAGACATGTATATGACATGGGAGACATAACTACACATAAAATCCATTAAAAATGTCTATCCCCACATGCATGGACCATCAAGGTACTGAGAACTCAACAAACACTGTCAACAACCTCAGGAGGACCCACCAAGGGCTTCACAACACCATCAGAGAGGCAAAACAGAGCAAAAGGTAGCAAGATTCCCCCCCTGCTGTGGCCAAGCATGGGTGGCACAGCCCAAACCCCTCCTGCAGTCTGCTCATCAGAGCCCAGAACCACGAAACCACTCTGGATTAGGAGTGTTTTGAAACATGGGCAGAATTTAATTCCTTCAAGCACTGTTAATTAATGAATTAATTTCCACTGCCAGCCTAAATGCTGCTTAATTGACTTTCCAAAATAACTCAGTCTCAATGTGATCTTTCAAGAAACTTGGTCTACATCTGTCTCCCTGATTTACGGTTGATTCATAAATTATGGGACTCTATTGTGTCAGCAGTTACTCCTGAGCTTGAGCAGGAGCTCAAGCCCTGATCTTGCAGGGCAGGAATTTAGGGTCAGGCTTTTGCTCACAAGGGTCACTGTGTCTGTGTCGCAGCTGAATCATCCCAGAGCACACAGCCCTGTGTGTCTGGTGCCTAATGAGGCAACAAAACTAAATTTACTGTAAAGTTATGCCTGGGATGCACAACTGGGCAGGGATGGTGTGCAAGCAGCACTGCCCTGAGGTCAGAGGTCTGCAGCACTGCAAATTAAAGGAATTATTGGCGCTCCCTTTGAACTGAGCTGTGGGAATGCCAGAGGGATAAGACACAAGGAATAGAAGGGATAATGCAGACAGCTATTCTCCCTCCACACAGCAAGCCCATATTCCCAATTCCTGGATGCTGCAGGCACAGCACATGGAGGATGAAAGGGCACAGGGATTGTTTTTAACATTTCTGAATGGGACAGACACATCACATCTGCCTCTAGAGCTAAGGAGAAGTCAGGAGCACGAAGCATGGGAGAGTCCCTGCTCTGGAGTCACTGTCATTTATTATTCATCCCTTGGCCTTTAGCGGAGAATTCAGCACATCCCCATTCATTCCCACCTGGCTGCTTTTCATGGGAGCCACGAACAGGCTGTTACTCTCAAGGCAGCACAGGGAGCACAACGTGTGAGCCTGCAGAGCCCAGTCTCCTCTTTCCGAGGGAACAATTAATGCTATTACAGATTTGCAGCGGCTCAAAGATGTATCAGAGATGCCTGTGGGAGAAGGCAGGGAGCCCACGAGAGTGATTCCTGGCTGGGAAGACACGCAATTCCAGCCCCGAGTTGCTGGAAAGCAGTTTTGCTTTGCATGCAGGCACTTCCGAATAGTTCAGGGCACAGAATCGCAGCTTGCTGTCACTTCACCGTCACCTCCAGGCTGTGACCTCCCCCAAAACACGGATGGTCCTTGCCAGGCCTCATCTACCAGGGCTGTCATCATCTTAGCGGGATGACAGAGCTTCCAACAGCGAGTAAGGAATGCCACGCTGCTACTACCGCTACTACGAGCGTGCCGAGGCAGGGCTTGCCCGGCTCCAGGGAGCTTTTAGGGCTCATGCGAAGGAACGCCCGTAGTGGGACGGAGCTCACGTGCAGCGACACACACACAGAGCCCCCCCGGCACCGCCGCGCCGCCCTTTCCACAAGTTCACCCCTAAAGTTTCTAAAGGAAAACGCCTTACGGAGAGAGAAGGAAAAGGCCCGAGCCGAGCCGAGCGCTCCGGGTTTCTCCAAGTTTTTTAACCGAGCCCAACCGCTCCCGCAACGGCCCCGCCCGGCCCAACCCCGCGGGCACCCGCGACCCGCCGGCCCTGCGGGCTGGGCGCTCTGGGGACACCCGCTCGCCATGCGGGGGACACCCGTGCACCGAGCGAGCGGCCCTGGGGGACATCCACTCACCGAGCGGCTGCGAGGAAGCTCAGCTCCCGAGCGGCTGCGGGGGACTCTCAGTCACCGAGCGGCTGTGGGGACTCTCACGCAGCGAGCGGCTGGGCGGACACTCACCCGCCGTGCGGGGACACTCACCGTGCGGGCGGAGGGGACGCTCCGTGCGGGTGTACGGGACGCTCCCCGCGCGGTGCCCGCGCCGCTCCAGCCGGGGCCGCCGCTGTCCGCGGCCGCGCTGGTGCTGAAGGGGCCGCCCCGCCCCGCCCCGCGCCCGCCCCCGCCCGCCCCCGCGGAGCGCAGCGCCATGGCCGCCATGGCAACGCCGTGAGGGGGCCGCGCCCGCCGCCGCCCGGCACCCCTGGCAGCCCCGGCACACCCGGCAGCATTGTCACACCCGGTACCCCCGATACACCCGGTATCCCGCAGCACTGTCACACCCGGTACCTCGGCACCACTGGCACACCAGGTACCCCCGGCAGCCCAGGCACACCCGGCAGCACTGTCACACCCGGTACCTCGGCACCACTGGCACACCCGGTACCCCCGGCACACCCGGTACCCCCGGCACACCCGGTACCCCGCACCACTGGCACACCCGGTACCCCCGGCAGCCCAGGCACATCCGGCAGCCCCGGCACACCCGGTACCCCCGGCACACTCGGCAGCCCCGGTACACCCGGTACCCCCTGCACACCCGGTATCCCCTGCACACCCGGTACCCCGGCAGCACTGGCACACCCAGTACCGCCGGCACACCCGGTACCGCCGGCACACCCGGTACCCCCAGCAGTGCTGGCACACCCGGTACCCTCGGCACACCCAGTACCCCCGGCAGCACCGTCACACCCGGTACCCCGGTAGCACTGGCACACCCGGTGCCCCCTGCACACCCGCAGCCTCAGAGGGTCCATATGCCAGCACCGCAGTCATGCTCACTCTGCCCCAACATGACATCGGCCACCATCACCTTGTCCACCTTCCCTGTCACACACTGCCGGTGGAGGGCACAGAAACGTGGAACCGTGAAATCAAGCATAAAATCCGGGAATTGTTTTGGTTGGAAAAGCCCACTAAGGCCACCGAGGGACCTTAGCGCTGCCAAACCCAGGCAGTTTGTATGTGCTAACCCGTGTCCCCAAGTGCCACATCTGCATGGCTGCTAAGTCCCTCCAGGGATGGGCACTGAGGTCCAGGAGCACTTGGACAACACTCTCAGGAACAGGGTTGGATTGTTGGGATGCCTGTGCAGGGCCAGGAGCTGGACTTGATGATCTTGATGGGTTCCTTCCAACTCAGCATATTCCATGGTACTGTGATTCCACCTCTGCCCCAGGCAGTCCATTCCAATCCAATGCTTTAAGAACCCTTTCTGTGAAGAAATTTTTCCTAATATCCAACCTGACCCTCCCTGGTGCAACATGAGGTCCTATCAGCCCATGGAAAGAAGGTCCCACTGACTTGTGGCAAACATTTTTATCCTGGTGATCCAGTTCTCAGATCATCAAACCCAAGAAAAGTCAGAACTAAACTGGCTTGGTTTCGAGGTCCTTCCTGCATAAATAGTCTGTGTGTTTGGCCTCACTATTTCATAAAATCCTGGAAGGTTTGGGTTTGAGGGGACCTTAAAGAGCATCCATCCTACCATGCCATGGGCAGGGACACCTTCCACTATCCCAGGTTGTTCCAAGCCCTGTCCATCCTGGCCTGGGACACTGCCAGGGATGGGGCAGCCACAGCTTCTCTGGGCAAGACACATGCACAGGATGTAACTGCCAAGGAAATCTAAGGAAACCTACGTTTCAGAAGCACAAATAGAAGGATTAAGATGACTGAGGAGAAATCCGTGATGTGAGCACCAACACCTGCATTTGGCCACTCAATCCCCCAAATTCTGCCTCACCTGCAGCTCAGCCCTTCCCGGAGTAGAAAAATTCTTGGCTGCTGTGTGATCCTTGGCTCTGGAACCAGGATCTCCTCCAGCGTGGCTCTGCTTGCAGATGATCCCACTGCAAACATTCCATATGCTCCTCTCTGTACAAGGCATGATGTCACAGACTCAGTTCTGGCCCTAAACACCCAATTTAAAATTCAAGCTTTCCAATGTGAGCCTCTAAAATTTATCGTCTTTGATAATTACTTCACTGGATGGATGGGATAAAACCTGGCATGGGATGAGTTTATGGCATTTGTGCCATTTTTGGTAATTTCCGTTGCACTGTGACACCGAATACCTTTGCTGCTGTACAATGTTTAAGTTTGCTCAGACAGAGACCTAAAATGAGAGATAATTTACTTAACTGTTCTGAGAAAATATGCCAAATGGGTAAGCCATGATTAGTTTCAAAAAAAGTGCAGGTTTAGTACTACAGTGACTCATAACAATGAGCAAAAAAAGGTCATGAAAGTATTTTAAATTGCATTGTATCATAGGGAAATATAAAATTATCTCAAATAGCTGTGTCTGTACTTGACCTTCTAGCACCCAGGTACTTCTAGGCTGGCTCTTGGGTATTACACCAAAGCAGGATTTTAACCTTTTCTCCTAAAAGAATCCACAGCAAGGAAATACGACCCTTGTTGACCATAAAAGTCCCCAGACCAGCTGTTATTCTTTAGGGCCCTTAAAAACATCTTTCCTCTTGGGAATAGTTTTATGATAGAGCAATTGCAGCTATTACAAAGCACTTCACAATTAAAGAATCCCACTCCTGAGACAACTCCATTTGAAGTCATAAAGTTACTTTATAATATTTTATATTCCTAGCTCTGAAAAACATTTATATTTAAATTACTTTCTATTATTGTACTAGTTTATTATTTATTTTCTTTGTTTATTATTATAATATTAATTTATATTCCTACTTCACAAATTAGTGAAAAAGAGATGAGGAAACATTTGAAAATCCGAACACAAACCAAATCTCAGCCCCAAAAAGTCTCTTTTCCAGTTGCCTGGTCCTGGGCCACCAGAGCCAAGCTGGAGGGAGCCCAAAGGCTCTGGACAGGCAGCACTGCTGGAGAGAGGAATGGGATGGGAGAGCATCCTAACTCTTACCCTGTGCCAGGATGAAGCCCATGGCTTGCCCAGCCATTGTATGTAGCTATTGAGTGATTAATTTGGCAAATTAATTAGTTAATTGTCCTCCTGCACTTAGGAAAATATACATATATTTCTCTTTTTCCCCACTTTTTATCACTAGGAAGTTGCAGTGCCACGACAGGGCTGGGCAAGGGAATGGTGTTCAGTACACTGAGAAAAGTTTGAGTTCAATGGGCAATGAACCCAATTTAATGTCAGGCAGGGAGAGATGGATTCTTCTGGAATTGTGCCTTTACTTCTCTGCACATTTTCAGGGAGACACATGTAGAAATGTGCCATTTGATGTCACCAGGCTGCTGGGACTGGCCCCATGCAGGTCAGGAGTGCCACCACAGGGCTGGCAGCACCACATTCTCCAAGGGGAAAAGTGGCAGGAGACTAAATGAAGGACAAGGACATTTCTCTGATGACATCCCAGGGCCACTGAAGGTGCTGGGACTCCTGCTCCTGAGTTCAGTAAAGCTGGGATTTCACCAAGCTCCTTTTGTTTGATCTGGAAATGAGGATTTTAAAGGCCACCCCTGAGGCCAGGTCTCCTATGCTGATGTACAAGAAACAATCCCTAAACCTGGACTCTTGCTGCCTGCTCTTGCTTTGGTCCTAATTCCAGAAAACACTTAATATATCCATAAATACATTTCTCACTGGCAAAGCTCTTGAGCAAACACCTAATTTAAAGATTTGCTTATCTCTTAATTCCTTGGTGAAGAAGTAAGGTATTACTCCAAAGGAGTAAAAAGGGATAATCAAGCTGTAAATCCTCACAGTTTCTATCATTTAGAACCAGAGCTTAGTCATCTTTTGACCAGTGACGCACAGCACTGATTTCTTGCTGAATAAAATTGTAGAAGCACAGCCAGTTTTTCACAGAGCTTGGAACTGTGCCCTTTGTGGGGTTTTATGAATGCAGAGCTCAAGGTCCATAGTATGCCATGGATAACCTAATGCAAGGTCATGTTTTGCTGGAATAACAGCACCTAAATCCTCCACGGCAACCATGGGGTCCAGCCCTACCTGGAGATTTTATCAAATTTCACAGGGATTTGGCTGTGCAGAACAAGTTCAAACTGTGAGAGCAAAAAAGGCAGTTGTGAAACGCTGAAGATTGGAACTGTAAAGGTCAGAGCCTGCTCTGCACTCCCCCAATTCTCACATGTATTTAGATCTGAGATACCCTGTGCATTTCGCTCGGTGCTCTGCAGTTCAGCAAGGTGGAAGAAAATCATCTTTACCTTTGGAAAATTCCATCACAGGGCTATATTTTCCTTCTAAAACTCCAGAATTTCATGTCATGAATGATGCATATTCTGTCTCAAAGGAAATCACCCCAGAAAGAACATTCCCCATGGCCTTAACTTAAGGCAGATGCTGCTGAATGAGAATGGGGGTGTGTAAAAGTGCATTTCCCAGGTGAACTGGGCATTCACTTCTGCACACACACACACCCAAGGAGAACAGAACCATGAGAAATTTTTCTTTCCAGCCTGCCAGAGTGAAGCCAGATTGCACACAGGACTCTCAGAACGCTGTAAATTCTTTTGTCTCATCCCCAAGCACCTTGGATTGAGCACTTGGCCAGGATTTGGAAGGAACTTATATTCAATTTAGTAGCCACTGAGTGGAAGTACTGAGAGCTCCTTGCTGTGTAAACTTCTCTTAAGAAAGTCCAAGAAGTGCATTGAGGTCAGGGGTTTTATAGCTCCTGCTCCTTTTTATGGAGTTTTACTCTTAAATGTGAAGTGACTTGTTAAGTTTTTGTATTGCCTAAACCCAGAAGTGGAGAATATTTTGATTCATCCAAAGAAACTCTCTGAAGGCCATCAATGCTCAGAATGAAAATGAATCAAAACAATCAACCCCCTGAGATTAGTCAGAATTAGCTCTTTTCCTGTACTGGTCTGTATGAAATAATTCCTTGACCTTTGACCAGGGAGGAAAAAGTTAAAAAGCACAAAATAAGCTATAAAAATGACCA